CTATGCCAAATCTGTCAAAAGTAGAAGATGTGGAAGGACCTTCGGGTTCAAACCTCACCACAGCCTCTGACAAGTACATGTCTACCAAGGGAACTGCCTCTCTTGTAGTTGAATCTGTGCCCTCCTTGCAAGAGTCTGACCTAAAAGTTGAAAATTTAAGAGGACATGGTTGTACATCTGTCAATAACAAGGCAGCTAAAGATGCATTTAAGTTTCAGGAAGACACCATAACACCATCTGGGGCAGGCACTCTGCATGATTGCCCTGAAGAGGAAATGCAGCGTCTGCTGGACTATGAAATAAATAAGGAGAGCAGCACCAAGGAGTCTAAAGTTTTAAAACCAAATGAGTCTTCAGTTCTTAACTTTCAGTCACTTAACCTTACTGGTTGCACAGAGACCCAGCAAAAATTTCTTGCCCAGGAAGCTCTGGACTGTACTAAAGCTTTGCTAGAAGATGAAGGTCTGGCTGACCACAATCTCTTGATGACTTTAGAAAATATGCCACTACAACATAACACAAGTGCCAATGGGTGTGAAGAGAGTGAAAAGAGAAGAGGGAAAAGATCAGTGGAAGACACAGAAATGAATGGTAGGTACCTGCATTGCTACTCAGAGTTTAAGTGTAATATTTTTATTGAAACTGTGCTGCTATTTTCAAAACTTATTTAAGTAATTTATTGATGTTTTTCAAGCAAATTGCATTAATACCTTTCTTGCAACTTAGGATTAAGTTGTATTGCTTACTATTTGGATTTTTTTTTTTTTTAAGAAAAGTTAAATGATACTTTATGACATGCAAACCATTGTTTTCAGATGAGTAAACATGCCTGAGCATAATTAACTTTAAGCCACAGCTATGCTTTGACAATAATAGCCTTCTAACTATTTAGGTCAACCTCCCCTAAAAAGACGGTTACTGGAAGAGTTTGACAGGAGTCTCGTGGATCCAAAAGCTTCAACTCTCCACCCAGTCAAAAGTTGCTCCAATGGTAAATTGTTAGCACTATGGCACATTTTCTGAGAACTTTTATTTTGTGTTATTCATTAAACAACTATTTGTATTTATCCCTAAATAAGGTTTAATGAAGGACAGGGGAGTTTTTAAATACAGCACCTCCCTTTATCCAAACATTACTCGGCCACACAGGTATGTTCCTGTTGAAGCACCATGTTTTCAAACAGGTTAACAAAATTATAAGCTTTTTCTGATATGTCCTTTCTTTTCTTTTCTGCAACAGTGGAAAAACCTATGTGGAAACTAGATTCCAAAAGACACAAATACAGAACTCAATGACAGGAGACCCCAGGAGCAAATCAGCACATTACAAGACATCAGCATTTGTTCCTCCATTTGTCAGAAATGCAAAGACAGAAACCCATAAGAATATGGTGCTCAAGGACAGCATAAGAACACCTTTGGCCTTTGTTCCTCCATTCAAAAAACAAAGAACTATTGTTCAAGAGAGTTCCTGTAAAGCGCATGAGGGGGAAGACAAACACCAAAAACCATTTGTAATGTCATCTAACAGCAAGTGTTTTGTGCCGCCCACTAAAAAAACACAAGGCGCTGTGGATGGAACTGCTGTGGCTGCAGCTCGAAGTGACGATATGAATAATCAAAGCTTACCTGTTGACTTCAGGTCTGTCAGTGCTGTTGGAGAGACATCAGGTGTAGATGGCACATGTTCAAGAAGCCAAGGTGCAGTAAACAGTTTGAGCTACATCAGTGTAAAAGTTTCTTTGTGACAGTTTAAAAAAAAAGAATGCTGTCTGTTTGCAGATGTATATCAGAATCTCCAGAACACTGAGTTGGCACAGGATATGCAAGACATGAGGATCAGGAAGAAGAAGCGCCAGAACATTCGACCTCTTCCAGGGAGCTTGTATCTTAAAAAAACATCAGGAGTACCCAGGATCCCACTAAAAGCTGCAGTGAATGGAAAGATCCCAGGAAGATACACCCCAAAAAAGGCAAGGCTGTAACTGTCACTGGGTTTTTTAGCATTTTTAAGCATACTTAGATTTCATTGTTTTGGTTTTAAACACAGACTGTGAGACACAAATGTACTTGTTTTTATTTTTCAGCTTTATGGATATGGAGTCCAAAAATATGTTTCCAATATCACCAGTGAGAATGCAGAATCTTTCCACTTCAGCCTGCTGCAGTTCATCAAACTAGAAGCCTTTACAGATGAAGGTGGAGTTCAGCTTGCTGATGGAGGATGGCTGGTCCCCAGCAATGATGGGACTGCGGGGAAAGAAGAGTTTTATAGGTATTACTGAATCACACTTTGTGTTAAATGAATCATA